ACCAAGGGTGCTGTGGACCGTTCGCTGTGGTGGCTTTTCGTGCGAAACTGATGTTGGCTTTGGATCATTTGCATGTCGGAGAAAGGGGTCTGTGATTGGTAAATTATTAGTTACGTTGATGCCACATTTACCGGGTGCATCGAGAGATCACGTGTGCAACTGACTTAATTCAGGTTCGTGGTTGCTATCGATAGGGTCATATGTACTGTTCCTCCCACTGCGTCAAAGCGCAGGAGTTCTTCCAATTCACAAATTGCCATCTCTGGGACTGGATTCTTCTTTTTTAATTCGGTCAACGTCAATACTCATGTGGTATTATTTGAGAAGGCCTACACAGACGAGGTGTACCGCGTGTGGACCTATTCAGTACCGATTGCTCCAGGGGGACCATCCAATGGTCGGTGCTCTATAAACGGGCGAATTAACGAGTCTCAGAGGTGTCATGGCATTCGTTGCCTGTATCAGACCGCGCGGGCCAGAAATCATAGCTTGCAGGTTCGTTGAGAGTGGCAAGCTACTTTTTACTCTAATAAATACTTTACAGAATATGAATCAATATTTTGTCTGTCGCCATCCGGATGTTTTCTCTTTATTGTGAAAAAAAATGGTTTAAAAATGCAGAAATGCTCATTCCCCTTTCGCCTTTTTTAACGTGCCGATAGAGGGCACTGTCTCCATCCTCGATCCTTTGTCAGTTTGAGCTTATGAGTGCATTCCACCAAATCGTTGAATTTCTGCGGGCGAGCACATTAATATTTTGTGACCCCACGATTTTTTTTAAAGTGATAAGACATGCCATAATCAGGAGGAATCATAGAAATATTTCTATAAATCCTGAATTTGGGACTGGCAATTTGCAGTTTGGGGTATTTCTTTCACAAAAAGCCAAAAATTGCGGGTCCATTTTTGATAGAGGCAGGTGGCTACATTCAGAGCCCAGCGCATGGTTTCACTACTATTTTGGGGGTGTCTTCGGGAAGAGGCGAAAAAAAAAAACAACCGAAAAGTGATCTCGTGGCCATAATCTTGAATTTCCAGTGGAAAGAAAAGGAGGCCAACCCCTTCCCGAGAGTGAACAGGCGGCGCTATTTTGGTCTGATTTTGCTCTGTTTTCTATAGGCGAGCATTTGGTGTAGTGCAGCCTAAGAAATACCATATGCTGTTGTACCGTAGCTGTACCTGGGGC